GGGCAAGGGTGAGTCCTCTGCGTTGGCGTCTGTGCAAAGAGGAGATGGGGGTTGGGTGATGGTGGAGGGATGCTCAGATTTACGAAGGATGGAATGACATCAAAAGAATGCAGATACCATAGAAATACTGCACACTTATGTTTATTACAGCACTATTCACAATAGCAAAGTTATCAGCCTAGGTGCCCATCAAGGACAGATGAATGGATTTTTTTTAAATGTGGCACACATAAAGAAATTATACCATTTGCAGGAAAATGAATGGAACTAGTGAGATAAACCAGACTCAGAAAACAAATTTCACATTTTCTCTCATATGCAAAATCTAGAGTTTAAAAAACAAAGACATGAAAGTAGAAGGGGAACTATTTGGAAAAAGGAAGGGAACCAAGGGTCAGGGAGAGACTTCAGATGTGATAGAGGTAATGATCAAACATGTATGAATTTTAAAATTATAAACATGTAGAAAATATCATGATAAGCCAGGCACCAGTGGCTCATGCTTGTAATCTGAGCTACCTGGGAGGCTGAAATCAGGAGGATTACAATTTGAGGCCAGCTCAGGCAAAAAAAGTTCACAAGACCCCATTTCGACTAATAACTGGACATGGGGTATGTGCCTGTCATCCCAAGCTACAAAGGAGGCTGAGATCAGGCCAGCCAGGGCAAAAATAGTTTGTGAGACCCCATCTCAGTGGAAAAAAGCTGGCTGTGGTACTACATGCCTGCCATCCCCACTACAATGGGAAACATTGTAGTTTTCCAGGCTGCGGTCTGGGCTGGCCTGGGCAAAAAGTGATACTTTATCTCCAAAAATAACCAGCACCAAAAGAGTTAGAGTCTCAAGCAATAGAGTACCTACTTCCTAAGTGCAAAGCCCTGAGTTCAAACACAAGTACAGAAAGAGAGGAAGGGAAGAGGAAGGGAGGGAAGGACAGAGGGAGGGAAAAGGGAGGGATGAGGAAGCTGTGTGTCTGGGACTCATCTGTGACCTGCAGAAAGCAGTCGCAGGCAGATGAGATCTCCTAAAGAGGACTAAGAGGGAAAGGCAGGAGGTTCCTGCCTCAGGAGGAGACAGCTTCTCAAAATGCACTCCATGCTTCCAGAGTGCCATAAACAGCACTGAGTCTGTTGTAATGGCCTCCAGCAGCCTCGAAACGTGCCTTCATGCAGCTGGATAAAATGTATCCTCTGCAGCACCACTGTATCATGAGGAACTCCTCTCCCATGACCTGAGAACCAAACAGAAGATACAAGAGCATCTATGTGTTGCCTGTCACACCATGGCATCCGGGTTGCTCCAAATACACTAAGTATCTTTTGTGACAGAGTCAAAGAATAAGGGTCAACCTGCCCTGGGCCAACTGCAGCTCTAAGAAGGCACTTCATAGGCATCAATCAGGCCATTTAGACCTTTCTACTCAGATCCCAGCTAGCGCCAATCCGTTCACACCACAAATCCCCCTTCAAAGGAACAAAAGTCATCTGACCAGCTGACCAGGAAGGGTCATCCAGAGTGCTTGGTACCTTGCAATTTTGTGGGCTCCAGGGAGGGGCAGACCCCTTGGAACCACATCAGAAGAAGTGGTCCCTCCAGGAAACCCTGGCCAGTGTGTGGACTCTGGCTCCCAGTGACTCAAGCCCAGGAACCCGGCCAGGGCCTGGTGATGAAATCACCCAGAACCACCTCACATTTAGCACCAGAAACTTCAAGTGCTGCCACCACCCAAGGACTTCAGTCCAAGCAACAGCCAGCTCCACCTTCCTCCTCTCTACCCTGGTTATTCTACAGTGAGTCACCAGCGTGTTGCAGACAGGCACTAAGACTTCTCACTTGGTGCCCCCAGTGCAAGAGACATCACGGTGCATATGCTACCCCAGAGGTTCCTGTCCTGTGCCTTGGAGTTCCCAAGCATCTGCAGTAGGATGTCTGGGTTGGAAGGGGAAAGGGACACTGGGAGGACTCTAGGCCCATCAGGGCCACTCACTTCTGCTTGGTTTATACATGAGTGTTCAGTATAAAACATGTTGATTTAAAAAAATATATATCCTGTTGCTTTAACCAGTTTGAAAAGGCACTATTCACCACAAACTGGCAAAATGATGCACAACTTTGTTATCAACCCTGCTTGACATAGCTAAACGCACAAGCCTCTTTCCTTGGGAACTCTTCATTCTTCAACAGTGACAGCCCCTCTAGGGCATCTACCCCTGTTTCAGTGCTCAGAAACCCTGTATGAACATCTCCCCAGGCATGCAGCTGGGGCCTAACTCCAACAGTCTAAACCCCCTATTCCATGTGGGCACAGCCACCAAGGGCCCTCTCCTGTTACTCACTCCAACTTGGGCCTCCTCCTCAAAAAGTCTTCTAACCAGCCCATGTGACATCATCAAAGGGACATCAGAAAAGGGACAAAAAGGGAGGGGAGAAAAGAGAGAAGGGGATGTCCCCTCAGCAACAGAGAGCCCCACTCAATCCTGGTCATCCCAAGGGGCCAGCAGCTGAAGCCTGACCATTCCCACTCTCTGTATGACCATGAACTCAACCCCACACTTTTTCTTTTGTGAATATCCAAAGCCATGGAGAAAATGAATGAGTTATCAACTATATAACCAGAGTACCAGTATCACAAGTACGAAAATTAATGCTTATCCAATTATTCCTAAAATGTACCTCACATTCCAAACTGTATAATTACACCAACACATCATTTATAAATTTTTTGACCCAATATCTAATCAAGGTCCACTCATTACATTTCATATTAGTCTCTCTTATCTACAACAACAACAGATGCTTATATTTTAAAAAATAACATTGACTTCATGGAGGGGGTTCGAGTCTGCTGTTTTATAGATTGTCCCACATTTTGGATCTATTTCCTTATTATTAACCCAGTTGGACAAGCTTGGCATGACTATTACACAGGTAATAATGTGTACTTCTTAATCACATCACTTCAGAAATGATGTAACAGAGGGCTGACCCCTGTTGGTGACACAACTTGGATTGTCTGATTGAAATGTTGGCTGCTGAGTTGCCCCTCTGTAAGGTACATCATCCCTTTAGAATCAGTAAGTCCTCTGTTGAGGTGATACTTTGAGACCATGTGAATACCCTATTCCACAGTTACTTTTCACCAAGTAGTTCTTACATCCTTGGATGAGCCTACCTGAGAAGGGCCAAATTAAGATTTTCTAAATTAATTAGCAGGTGTTCTATAAAAAGTCCTTCTTTTCCCCTCCTTCCCCTCTGATTATCACTACAGTCATGGATTTTTTAATTATTATTATTCAATGCATTATAACCCACTACAGACTGAGTATCCCATATCCAAAATCCTTGGGACCAGAGGCATTTTGGATGTTGGAGTTGTTTGGATTTGCAAATATTTGCATAGTTTACCAGTTAAACAATCCTAATCCAAAAATTCAAAATCTGAAATGCTCCAAAATTGAAAGCATTCTGAGTATCACATCAGTACTCAAATACTTTTGGATTTCAGAGAATTTGGGATTTCAGATTTTCCAATTAGGGCTGCCCAACCTGTCCTGTCATTATTCTTTTTTGATGCTCAAATTGCTCCCATTTGAACCCAATGGAACCCTTTCAAACTAGCTCCTCAGTCCTGTACTATGACCTCACTGGTCTTTGAGTGCTACCTTGCTTTGCAGCTCCAGGTATGCCAGGCTCACCTTGTCCTTTCCCAGCTCCTACCTGGAAGCAGCCATTTTTCCAGACTCATCCTCTCTTTGTAAGCAAATAGGCAAGTTTACATTCTCACACTTCTCTAGTGATACCTTCATTTTCTTCCCTACTTCCATTCCCTGTCGTTCATCATTTGCATCAGCACTGGTAGCTCTTTGTCCTTGGTAGAAAGTGGGGAGGAGAAGGGTTTTAAAGGAGGGAAGGCGAGGCGGAGACCAGCAGTAAACTTAGGGACATGATCAACCACTTACCAGACAATAGGAAGCCTCCTTTCTCTAGATCACTACATTATTGGGTAACTCCAAATCAAGACTTGTATTTTGTTTTATTGTATATTCACATAAAACATACGCACAAGAAAAAATATATTCTAATTCCTGGCACTCCTACCCCCTTACTCTTACTTTGTCTCTGTAGATGTTTACCTCCTAAACTCTATAAAATGTAAGTAATTACTTTGTTTATCTTCATTCTCACTCTACTAGAAAGTAAGTTCTGTGGGTGACAGGTGCTTTAAGTGTACTACTTTGTTCAGTACTAGACTCCTAGTGTGTGGAACTCAGTAGGTGCCCCATTATTGCTTGTGCACGAGTAAAATGGCCTGGCTGGAAGCATAGGTCTAGAGGTAAGTTAGACTGCCCATTTATTCTTCAAGCCTGCACTTAATGTCACCTAATGCCATGTAGCCAGCCAGTACCTTCTCTGTGTTCCCAGAGCCCTTTCTACACTGCTAGATCAGAACACTTAAAATACCACATCACCATTGTTTATTCATATGTCTGTCTACCTGAAAAGGTGTGAGCTCCTCCAAGTAAGGACAAGGTTGTGCCTATCTGCATGGGCCCAGCACTAGGCACAGCAGCTGGTATACAAATGTTTGCCAACTCCTCTGCATCTAGCCAAGAACATACTCTTTCCCCATGCCACAGTGGGCTGCCGGGCTTTTCTCGGGGCCTGCACCAGGCTGCCAGCCAACTACTCCCAGATGCCCAGAGAGGCTCCGGCCCAAGTCTGCTCACAAAGGGCCCTTTGACTCAATCGCACAGGTTATTTCTGGAAAAACCACCTTCCCTGCCACAGCACTGTCACCAAGGCCAGTGTCCCTACAGCTCTGAAGTAACAGTGCCACAGTGCTCCCCAAGAAGCAAGAGCAAGGACACAAAGCTGGTAGAGCCAGCTGGGGAGAGCAGAGGGCTGACGTGCAGCTGAGAGCAGCCTGTTGAGGGCAGCGGAAAATAGCAGGTTAGAGTCCAAAAGCAGGCCTCAGGGCCATGCCTCAGAGTTGGCTCACCTGCTCTTTTCTCTCAATCTTCTTTTCAGTTTGCCCAGAAACTGGACTCTCGGGCTCAGGAGGCATGGTCAGCCGTAGTCTGCAGACATTTGCCTGGGAAGAGGTAGAGAGGACAGGCCAGTTAGAGCCAGTGTTCGGGGCAGAAACAGTCAAGTAAAGTTGGGCTTCTCAACCTGTTTCCCCATGTGGCAGTGGGGGTCACTGTACAGATCACATAGGAATCAATGAGAGTAAAACCAGCGTTTGCCTGACTGTTTTAGGAACCCACCAGCCTGCTGCTCAAAACAATAACTTCAGAGATTTCACTTTTTTATGGTTCAGGTTTCACAAGTATAGGCCAAAATGCAGCCAAAGAGATAGAAGCCAAAATATACACACACTGGTTATCTCTCAATCACAATATTTTAGGTGCTGGGGTAGAAAAGTACTTTCTACTTGACCATATATTTAAATTTCTATAATAAATATGTATTTGCATAATCACAACTGTTTAAGGTCTGTTTATCCATGTTCACATTCATCATTCACAACAGACAAGGTAGAAGCAACTCAAATGTCCAACATCAGCCATAAACACAACGTGGATAGTAGGCTAGGTGAAAGCCAGTCATGAAGGACAGACACTATGTGATTCTACTTACACAAGGTGCCTGAAGCTATCCGATACATAGAGACAAAGAGCAGAACAGCGGCTGCCAAGAGCTAAGGAGGTGGGAAATGGATGAAAACAGTTCTGAGGACAGAGGGTGGTAATGGTTGCACACCATTGTAACGCACTTAAACCACTAAACTGTATGCTTAAAAACTGGTAAGATGGCAAATTTAATGTTTTGAGTATTGTATTAAAAAACAACAAAACCAAAGCTGCCCCTATTTACTGAAAGTTAAGACAGCTGATGGGGGAAGGGAGGATAAAGGAGAATGATAGAGGAGATGAATTCAACTATGATATACTGTAAGAACCTGTGTAAATGTCACAATGTACCTCCAGTATAACAATAAAATTTTTTAAAAGATTATTTTTAGAATGACAGCTGAAAGGCATGGGAGGCTAAGATAAAACATCTGACTGCTTAGGTGGCTATGTAAGTGAATATTTGGCACTAATCACCGAGAGTCTCATGTCAATTTTTAAAAGCTGACAACAAAGTTCACTGAAATAAAGTCTCCTCAGTGATTTTTTTAAAGTCTAGGGTGGGGATATAGCTAAGTGGTAGAATTCTTGAGGCCCTGCGTTCAATCCTCAGCACTGAAAAAATAAAACCAAACCAAAAAACAGTCTAAATTACACTATTTCTCTTAAAGTAAAAAAACCATTAAATCATTCAGTGAGTGAAGCTGCAACTTACTTCATCTGTCGATGTTCTGTTGGCAAGGGGGCCCTAAGCACAGTTCGTTTCCCTGCCCAGTAGCCATAACCTGTAGCATGAACAGTACAACAGCAACAGCAGCTAGCTAGGATTGCCACTTATGCATGCTAGCCACCTTCCAGGTATTCACGTAATCCTCACCCTGACCCTATGGGAATAGGTCCTCTTACCAGCCCTATTTTGAGCTGAGGAAGTTGGGTGTCTTGGGGTGTGGGGGGTCCATGGCTAGGAAATGGAAGAGCTGAGATTTGAACCTACACAGTCTCCAGAGCCTGTGCTCTGAACCCTCATACTCATTGCCCACCATACACCTGAAATGCCTGCCACATGGGCTCAGCTCCTGGGAGCACCAATTGTCCCCTGTAACGTGTTGAACTGTGTCCCCCCTAAAATTCATGTTAAGTCCCAACACTCAGTATCTCAAATATGCTCTTATTTAGACATAGGGTCTTTACAGAGGAAATAAGTAAAAATGAGATTATAAGAGTGGCCCTAATTCCAAATGACTGGTCCTTTTAAAAGTGGGAAATGTGGAGACTGACACACAGACAGGGAGAATGCCTCATGAACACTAAGATGCTTATTTATAACCCAGAAGAGAGGCCTAGAACAAATCACCCCTTACAACCCTGAGATGGAACCAACCCTGCAAATACCTTGACTTTGGACTTCTAGCCCCGTAACTGTCAAACAATAAATTTCAATGGTTTAAGCCACTGAATTTGTGGTACTTTTTATGACAGCCCTTGCAAGCTAACCCCTTCCCCCAACCTTATTAGCAGGGTCACAGATCTGCATTGGTCTATAGGTAGCCTCTGAGCAAAACTACCCCACAACATAGAAGCCCAAGATTGAATGGAATTGCAAGAAACCTTTTAGGTCCAATTTACCCTTCTAAGAAGAACTGTGGTTATCATTTTCCATGAATAGGTGAGACAGTCCAAATTCAGGATCCATGTTAACACTTCAGGATCCATGTTAACACTTCCACATAGGCCAATGCCTCCAGCAAGGCATCCATTATGCTGCTGGGTACTGATATGTGGTCTTCAGAATTTCCATCTGAATAGCCCAGGGTTGTCCTTGAAAACCAGCAGAATTCCCCTTTCTAGACAGTCCTACTTGTTGGGAGCCATGAGCCGCAATCTGACAAGGTTGTTGTAGCTTAGCAGCATTCCAACAAGGTCAGAATCTGCAAGGTGCACCATGTCTCTATCACAGTGGGAAGGAACACTAAATGGTTTCCCTGGACTGAAAAGAAGTTTATACTGAGTCAAGGACACTGGCAGTAAGAATGCAGGGTGGCCGAAACAGAAAGGTTGTAACTAGGTCAGAGTCTTTTTGATGTTTAAGTCTCTTCCTCTTTTGTATAAAGCTTGCTGGGAAAAATTAAACATTTGCCAGTTGGTCATCAGCCTTCTGGCCCTCTCGATGTGTGTCTTGTCTGTTCATTCCTTCCCTGAGCCCTTTTGGGTCAAGGACCTCTGCGATCCCAGCACCTACTGTCCCCTGAGAATCATTACTTATGCACTAAATAACCCCAATTCTTTAAAATCAACCCCATGGCTTGATTTCAAGACCCTCTCCATCTTTGCTTTCTTCTGGGAAAACTTCATCCCACATGACCTCAGGGTCAGAGATAGCCTGATACCAAGGGCTATCTTTGCCTCTAATGGGGCCAACTTTGCAAACAACCTTCAAAGCTCACTGGCAGACTTTGGCCAAAAGAAAGCAAGCCATTCTACCAGGGGGCTCTCTCTTCTGACAAGCAACAGCACTGATGGAAATCTGGGGATGGCCTCCAGAGAAACACAATCCTCTGATTTCAGGCCACTTAGACTGGCTGAAACCAGTCTGGAATTTGCACAAACATCAAAGTATAACTCACACCAGGAAGGCAATCCAAACAGGTGATATTCACCATCCTCCCCAAGAGGCTGGGTCTAGTGCATGGCATAATTTTGCAGAGAAAAGAAGTTACTTTTCTCCTGGGCCATACCTCATACACACAGGCATGTGCATACACACATATACATGCACCTGCATGCATGCACACACACTACACGCTTCAAGATCTACCAGCTTTGACTATGGGCAAGTTATTTACTCTCTTTAAATCTCAAGGGTAAAATGAGATCAAAGGAAGGTGTCCAGAACATAGTAAGCCACTTGTCTTCCCAGCTCTGCTTTCCATGAAAATAATTCAGTCAATGGATTTGGGACATTAGCATGGTAAGTAATGGCTTTTCATTATTACTTTCATTTTTAATTTTTTGGCAGTACTGGGGATGGAAGGCAGGGCAAGTGGCAAATGCTCTACCCCTGAGTTGCATCCCTAACCCAAGTGACACCTTCTCATTGGCTGATGATCCTAGTGGGTAATCCCTAGTGGCCATAATTTTCAGAAAGGGGTCCTAGGAGTATAGTCACCAAAAAATGAGATGCTCCCTACCCACCCTGTTGAGCCAATTCTTCACCTGCCCTCACAGAACTTTGAGATTCTTCAATATGTTCCCTACAATGTGAAGGCACATCTTATACAGCAAACTCCATACTGAGCCATGTGTACCCTGGGTATACAAAGCCAAAGGGCAGATACAGTGCATAAAAAAAATGAACCTGTAAGATAAAACATCTGGCTTCAAAGCTATTTGGCAGTTGCAACAGGTGCTTAAGGCTGCACCCCAGGGCCCTGTCTTCAGTGATGGCTCTTGTCAGTAAAGATGCTTTGATGGAAACGTTAATGAGCACAGCTATTATTTAATAAATGCTGATCAACTGATGTCTGACCAACCATACAGAAGCAATTTAACCCTGGCATGGCACAGAATTGCACAGTAAATTTCCTAATAAGATGGCCAAATGTATTGTCCAGGGCGGGGGGCAGGGGTAGGGAGAAAAGTTACAGAGCAAACTGTTAAGAATAATTTAACTTTTTTCAAAATTTGTTTTGGCAGTATGGGGTTTGAACTCAGGACCTTTCTCTTGCTAGGCAGTGCACGCTACTATTTGAGCCACGCCTGCAGCCTTTTTCTTTTTAAACACATCTAGCTAATCTGTTAGATTTAGAGAGAAAAAGACCTTCCTTAAGGAAATACAACCAACTCTTGATTCTTTTCTCTCTGAAAAATGGGATTTATGTGTTGCTTACAGCTGTTTCAAGTTAGTTTTAAAGTAATAGTAGTAGTAATGGCAATAATAAAGATTGAAAGAGAATGTGTCAGAGAGCGAGCATGGCATCCTTCAGAACAGCTTCAGAAGCAGCAAAGAGAACATTCTAGAGGTCTAGAAGGTGTTCTAAATTCCCAACAGAAATACTGTGTAAAGGAGCCCCTGAAGCCACCCTTAGGTTGACAGGGCACAGTCCACTTCCCTCTACTCATTTGCTCTGTGGGAAACTTCTGTGCAAGATCAAGGCATGTGGCTTATCTCAGCATTTTATGATGCGATCACCATGGCTTCTAGAAACTCAAACATACAATTCCCAGAGCTTCCCTAGGCCAAGCAGTACTGACAGGCAGGTAGCATGCTTTATTACCAGAGATTCCCTCTGCAACTGACTCAGTTCTGAACAAAGTGCAGAACTGCATCTTACTCACCCTGAACACCACTGCCATTGGACCTGCTGTCCCTGAACTTCACAGTCCATTCCAGTGGATCAAATCAGGAAGCTGGACACAGTGTATTTCATTACTTGGTCACTGAGCACCCTCTACTTACAAA